TCTCTATAGGCAGGTAAACATCCTTAACATTTTTCTTTCATTTGAGCCATGGCAGCCTGTGAAGTCACTTTCCATCATAGCTATGGAAATGAACCCTCTTCGTACCTCCTAAGAGGGTAATAGGGCAGCTTGGTCCTTTGACTTTGCTTGGGAGGAACGATTCTTTTGGGAAACGCATCACATTTCCCTTCTGACCTGGGCCCCTGTGGCCTTCAGGACCGCAGCTGGAGTGAATTCAGCTCAGAGCAGGCTGTAGTCTGCTGCTGGCATTAGGACAGTATCACAGAAGGAGCCATACCTCTCCTTCCCTTTTAACCACTTTTTCCCTGCAGAATTAGAAGAAGCAAAGGAATGCTTCTTTCCAAGAAATAAGTGATATGGAAATGAACAAATAAATAGAACTGTGTGTTTCTTAATTTAACAAGACAACTGACTGAGCAAGATAGTCTAAGTCTGCAGTAAAATGTGAGGAATTCTATTAAAGGGAGACCCTGGCTATTGTTTCACTGGTCAAATCCAGCCACAAACTTGGACCTTCCCACACCAGTGCTGTGTAGCAATCCAAGGAATAGTTGTAAAATAGTATTTTATGTTTTCATCTCTTCTCTTTTCCAGTTCCTAAATGTGTGTATGTTTTAATGCCAGACTCTGCAGTGCCCGGGGCTATGGAAATGCTGAGCCTCACGGTTTTCCAGTTGGCTGTGTTACTCAGCAAGTGAGATTAAATCCCACAGTCATATATCCTTGGGTCAACTTGAAGATATACAGCATATCAGTGGCTTTTTCCTTTATTTTAAAATGCTAGATGTGTTAGTCAGCTATAAGAAAATATCTGAGCTAATCAACTTATAAAGAGGTTTAGTTTGGCTCAGAGATTTAGAAGCTTTAGTCTGATTGATGGACCCTGTTACCTTGGCTGTGGCAAGGCAGTACCTCATGGTGAGAGCATCTGTCAGAGGAAAAGCTGCTCAGCTCATCTCCAGTAAAGAAAAGTGGGAGAGAAGAAAAGACCAGGCTCCCACAATCCCCTGCAAGGGCACGCCCCCAGTGAGCTAACCTCACAACAGGCCCCACCTCTTAAAGGTACCACCACCCCCCATTTCGGCCACACTGAGCACCAAGTCTTTAACACACAGACTTCGGGGAGATCTTAAGATGTAAACTGTAGCATCAGGCCTGGAATGGCTTTTCCAAGCTTTGGGGGCCCTTCAGATTAACTTGAGACTTTAAACCAGGGGATATTTCTTCTTCAGCCTGACAGAGATGATGCAAGTTCTCAGCCTCTCCCAGTTTATGATCTGTAAGGTTATTCAGAGTTCCTTAAAAAATAATTGAGGCTGCTATAACTTCCTGTGTCAGGAAGTTTTTCTCACGTGTCTTCTTTTCGTTGTACAGGATCACATTTCTGATGGTCACTCTGAAAAGATCAGAGATATTCAACATCAATGAGAGTATAGTTTTTACCACTGTCATTCAATAAAGGGAGTAAATTTTAAATCACTATTTAGATTTAACTCTCAGTCCAACAGTTTTCCATGTTTTATTCCTCCAAATCTTAAGAAAGATAATAACTCTACTTTGTTCTGACAAGCTTCCCTTCTCTTAGCCTAGCAATTCTGACTTGGAGTTAATAAAAACAAAAATAGCATTTGCTTTGGGTTATGTGACGAACCCTATTCTAATGACTCTGGATAGAGGAATTCATTCAGAACACAGCGATGCTATAAGATAAACATTATTCTTATCCCCTCTGGACAGATAAGGAAACTAGAGTATATAAATGTAAGGTGATTGCTCAAAATCACACAGTTAGGGACAGAGCCAGAACTCAAGGCCCAAAAGACTTGTTCCAGAAATTCCTCCAAACCACCTCACTGTCCTGAATTATGAGTTTTCAAAGGACGTTGTCATGTTTCATCAACATCAAAGGAGTAATAATCATCCCCACAAACAAGCTGTCTTCACAAGTTCATTGTGGGCATGATTATGCCCATTTTACAGATGGGAAAACTGAAGCCTAAAAGAATCACAGGTTCAAGTTCACCTACCAGTATCAAGTTGAGGTTAAACTCACTCCTGTGTAACTCACAGGCTTCTTCCATCCCTCACCCCCATACCATTCCACTACAGGGCAATTGAAAGCATCTGCATCTTATTAAATATTGGTGGCAGAACCCTTCCAAATTATTTAGAGCCTTGGATACTGTGAAAAATAATCCCCAAACTGCTTCATTTTCCAGTTTTAAGCTCCAAGTTGATTACATTTAAAGACCAGATGGACCTCATCAGATGACCTTTTACAACACAAATATCCTTTGAAATGGGCTTTATTCAAATAATTCTCCATTGCTTTGCTCAGCATGTTTGCTAAGTATAAGCGTCAGATCCAGGGATGAATTAGCAGTCTCTTTTTCGTGTCAGGCAGTATTGGTTCCAACTCGGTATTCTCCACTGTTTGTACTTGAAACACAGGCTCCGTCTGTGACTTCATTTTGCCTATAAATCATTTTAGAGAGTGGTCCAAAGGAAACTTCATTTGGGAGTCCAAGCCTCATAAAACAAGGGAAGTAGAAGACAGTGTCATTCTCCACTCTTCCTCTAAAAGACACTTGACAGTTGAGGTGTGTTAAAACTAAATAAAGCTCAGAACCCAGCCAGGGAATCACTGGTGTGGATAAAGGACAGCCAGCAAGTAAGTGGGGTCCTAATCATTAGGGGCTGCGTAGAAACTAGAGGATTCTGAAGGGGAATGGAGAAAGGATGATGGAATCACAGTTCAACGCTGGCAGTTTTGCCATGATTAATGTCATTCTTCTGAAAGGTAAAAGGCTTTATGATCGGCAATTTTATCTATCAAGGATATGGATATGTTCAAAGGTAACCATGCAAGCTAGCATTTCAGTTATTTCACAGGTCTGTTAGGATTTATTCAAATGATTATGGCAATATTTTCTAGAACTTAACTTAATGAAAAATATGAAAATTTTATGCAATAAGAATTACTTTTAATGGGAAAATCAGAACTTTTTAAGACTGAGAAAAACATCAAGTTTTGCTTAGCTTTAATATCATACGTTCCCTTCATAATAGACTTGAATAAATGAAGAAAGCATTCTTGGACTTGGGATATCAAAACTCCATATAAGAAACATGGAAACTCAGTCTCTTCAAAGAAGGAAATTAGAAAGATGTCAGATTTCACATTCTGCAAGTTTGGCTCCATTTTGTTTTGCCTTTAAGTGATTTTTACTGTGGGCCTGTTGGTGAGGAAATCAGTCCTCATTCTCAGTAGTGGTGCAAGGTACTAAGGTTACAAAAACAGAGTTTATGTCCACGCCAGACTGATTGGTCGGTATGCCTCCAACACTGTGTGCTCTGGTGCTTCTAGCATGCAAGAAGTAAAGCCTGTCTCCCTTATCTCCCTGCGCCACTGTCCATCCTTCACAGACTGGCCGTTCTGCAAATATGTCCTGTGCCACTTTGTTCTTTTTTCCCTCATGGATCCAACTGGCCTTTTGTTCTCTAAATATCTACCTATCCTGTATTCCTAGACAGAATTAGCACCTTTCTGTATACCTTCATTTCTATATTTATCGTACTCTGTAGTGACTTTTTAAAATTTGATTGTCCATTTTCCACCAGACTATGCACTTCTTAATGGCAAGAACTGGGTACTCTGATTTTGGTACCCAGCCTCAGGCGTGAGCATCTGGCACACACTACAGAAGCATTACAATCATGGGAGGTTGAGAAGGGAACACAGTACAGCTTTGTCAGTCACCCAAAATGATTAGAAGGGGACGCCCAGTTTTTATTATTATGGTATGGTATGGTAGCTTCACTGTTTTAAAATCTACCACTTGGAATCTATTATTACAATAGCAATATCTACTGAAAACATTAATTTTAAATTGAGATTAGAAGTATTACCAAGCAGAAATTTGTACAAAACTTGTAAATAACTCATAGACCCATCACGAATAGATTTTTCAAAACTTATCTTTTTGTTGCATATAATGAAACCACTAAAATCCAGTTTTAAATGTATATTCTACTATAAAACAAAATGTTTGTGATATGGTCACTACTAAAGGCAAGCTACAAAACCTACCATATTCTACTTTGGAAAAAATGTGTGTGTGTGTGTGTGTGTGTGTGTGAGAGAGAGAGAGAGAGAGAGAGAGAGAGAGAGAGAGAGAGAGAGAGATTGATTTTGATTTACTGGAAGCATTATGGAATTAATATTTTTCCTTTTTTATATATGACTTCAAGAAATAAGACAGCTTCTTATTATTTTTCACCTGAAATCCCATTGTAATACCTAATTTCTGCCTCTCTAATGCTCTCTTTCCAATAGAAACATAAGCCTGATAGGCAGATGAGTGAAATGGGTATGATCATTTGCTTTTATAATTTCCAGTATAGATTAGGAAATAAGTCCTCTATGTGACACACAAAAAAGTTTTAAAGTCACTAACTCAGAGTAAAACTGACAATGTATTTCTCTGTTTATCTGAAACAATAAAGTTTTTAAAACAAACAAGAAAGTGCGGTGCACATTTCATTGGCTAGATAACCTTGTCATCCTTCTCTTCACTGGTCTTTCTATCAACACTAGAGCGGCTGGATCTTTCTGAGGAAGAAGTAAAAAAGTCTTTGAGAACCTAAGACACACACACACACACACACACACACACACACACACACACACACGCACAGCCTACCTGCCTCTGAGGACCTGCACATTCTGCTCAGTACTTTTGACACCAGACCGGAGTCCAAGCACATAGTCAGTGCTTGCGTTCTTTCCCGTGGCAGCTTCAGAGAGCTTCCTCAGACTTATCTTGCACATGGTGTCTTGTCCACTCGCCAGCCTAGAAATCCACTCCTCATTGCTCACCTCGTGCAGGAAAAGCAAGCACAATTGCATGCCGGACTTCCCAGGATGACCTCTGTGTGTCCCTGTAGTCACAGCCTTCTCCCTGTTCTTTGCTCGCCAGGCAGGATACCCAGGGCTGTGGCCTCCATCAACCAGCACCTGCTGCGATCAGATGATGTGGTGAGCTGCTGTCTGGACCTGGGCGTTCCTAGCATCTCTTTCCGCATCAATGGGCAGCCTGTGCAAGGCATGTTTGAGAACTTCAACACCGACGGCCTCTTCTTCCCTGTGATGAGCTTTTCAGCAGGTGTCAAGTAAGTTAAGGCTGTGATTTTCTGGAAGTAGTTGTGACCCACGTCCCTGTTACCCCCATAGCCTGACAAGCCAGTAATATCCTCTTGGGCTGCAGATTGCCCAAGGAAGGGGTGGTGTAAGGATGGAAAGCATCAACGGAGACCTCTTACAAGGTTTAGGTTATGTTCTCAGCTAAATAGTAAGATAAGTTCTGTGAAAAGGGTTAAAAATCATACAACATCACCATTGAGGCCCATTTTTCATCTTTATTACAGTTTGGGAAATTTGTATTTGTAACGTTATTGGAAACGTTATTGGAATTCTGATGAGTTAATTTTAATCTACCACTTCCAGTGTAACCCATGGCAAGAATAAAGGCACTGTGCTGTATTTACAGTTAAGGGCAGTCCAGATGAGAGTTCACCAAACAAAGCCCGCAACTCAGGGCCTAATCACGAACTAATGTGATTAGTTCGTGAAGAGGGGTGTGACTAAGGATGAGTGACTGAAAATGGTGGGAATTATCTAAGTATTGTGAACTAAGCTTACTAGGAGATCAGAAAGCACCTCTACAACATGCTGAGAAGGATCTGCAGCAAGACCAATCTGCATAACACAACTGCGGTAGCATTGAGCTAGGGTGTTGGTGCTTTAGTTTTGATGTGTAAACTTATTTTTGTCCTGAGAAGTCATAGCTTCTTATCTTGAGATTCACCCTATTGATGGTCCTGAAGCATTGGCTGTGGCATCCCACTGTGCTCAGCCATTTGCAGGACACACTGAGGTTGAGCAAACAGGGCTGTTGCTTGGTTTTACAGATTATGCAGCCAGCCCTGTTTACATTTCTTAGAGTCAACTAAAGGGAAAAGGAAATAGCTTAGCCAGCTCTGCATATATCAGTGCATAGAGATAAGGCCAGGTCTGCTAATGTGGAGGTAATTGCTCTATATTTAAGGAGAACCCTCCATGTGGTCTTCTATACATCACATCATATAAAAACCTTGAAAGACATAAATAATGCATAAAAATCACCTCTGATCCCAATGCTTAGCTCTAATCTCTATTAATAGTTTGATGTATTTTCTTCAAGTCTTTTTTTCTACAAATAGATGTATACTTTTTAAATTGCAATCACATTGAATATGAAGTTTTATATCTGTCTTTTTTCCACTTAACAAAAAATAAGGAGTCTTTTATTTTATATAGCCTCAAAATTATCTTATGGTCGCATAACAATCTGTACTTAATATAGTCATTATATCACATTGCTTTGATATTGTATTTTCATGACAATTCTATTTGTATTGTTATAAACTATCAGCACTATGAATTTCCTGGTATATAACTAGTTTCCTGTATTTCTATTTTATTCTCCTAGAAGAAAGAAAAATAAACTGTGAACTTTTAAGTGTATGAGAGTGTAGCTACATGGTTAGATTGATTCTCAGGGAAACCTTATGAACAATTTAGAGTTTCTTGTCAACAATTTCAAAATCTAAGAGACTCTAAAAGCCACAGAATAGTTCATAAATTCATTTTGTAGCAAATCTAAACTGATCTCTTTTTGTGGAAAAATTATCATCAACAAAAATGGGACTCTCCTCCTTCTTTTATTTATTCTACTCTTTGTAAAATGCATGCATAACTACAGAAATACTGGTTTTTTGTAATCGTGGGCCCTGCCCCTCCCATTTGGAGGTTCTGCTTCACATAGGCATATGCTGCATGTATCTTCTTCCTTTATTAAATCCTGTGGAATTCCAGAGACTGAAACACATCTCCAAAAATTTCAGATAAAAAATTTGACCTATAGTAATATACAAAGCAACACAGAGGCATGGCCAACTGAATCTTCATTGACTCTTACTGTTATTGGTTATTTTTAATCACCCCAATTTGAGAAAATTGTTCCTTAGAATTTGAATTTCTATTTCTTTAATTATCAATATAATAAAGCATTTAATACTAATTTTTCTTAAGTAGATTTTAACCCAATATTAACAATAAATATTTTTGCTAATTTTCTAGTTTTGGCCTTTCAAGTACTAATTTTGGATAATTTTTATAAATTGAGGCTGTTGTACTATTTTCTATTGATTTCAGATATTCTGGTTTGTTGCTTACCTTCTTTCCTTTAGTTGTTCTCTTTTTCTCTTCCACAAAAGTAATTTAAGTCAAAGAAAATACAGAGAAACTATAATAGTATCACCAAAAGATAATCAACCATACTGTCTTTTTTTGATATGTATTTAAATGTTTTACATTGAGTTTGGCTTGTATTATGCTTGCTGCTTTTCTGTATACTATTACTAATTATTAGTCATTGCTCTCCCCTCTCTCATTATGCAGGTTGAATGTGTCTTTAATTACTTCAGCCATTATTTTGCATTTTAATGACTGTATGGCAGACTCAACAATAATTCTTCCTCAAGAGTCTTAGCCATTTTTCACCACTGTAGTTTACAGAGATGGTAACTGAGTAAACAGGACATTGGAGTCATCACGATTAGAATTGTACTGATATTCCTGGGAGCTGCTGGGCAGGCTGTGGAAGGAGGGGAGAGTTGTGGAGACAGGACTTTAAAGCTGGGACCAGAGAAAAACCGTCTCAGAGTCCCAGGAATCCAGGCAATACAGCTGTCAGAGTAGAGCCACTGCCAGAGGCCTTTGCACCTCACGTGGATTAGTAAACTAGACACATTCATGTCTTCTCCAAAGCAGGGTCAAATTTTGGCTCTTCTTCAATCAAACTATCTAGGAATAAAAATTATCTTTTGTAAATAATAACGTTTGGAATTTGAGATGTGTGTGTGTATAAATATGTAAACAGGTTTTGTAATACTGAAATATCATTAATATTGTTTGAGATTCTTGTGACAAATAGAAAACAACTATAATGAAGACTTAATAAGATTTGAAATCTACTCATAGATTCCAGGCAAAGAATCTTACATGAGCTTCAGATACAGCCTTCTAAAGAGTTTAAGTTCTTCACCTGGGTGCTCTCTGCTGACTATGTTCCCTCCCCATCTGTCTAACACGTTCCCACTGGCTTCAGCCACCTTCCATTTGATCCACTGCTACTGAGCTACATCATAGCTGTCCCACGGAGCAGGATGGACAGTCCCCCTGGATGGCACAGACCGCCTGACGGGACAGTCGTGCATGTATGGCCCTGTCATGGAAGTGTTAAGTGTGGTTGAACATAGGGTCATAATGAGCATGTAGAAAACATCAAGTGTTGTTGAAAAACAGATCCTCCATAAGCACAGAAAAAGGGGCTGAGGACAAGCTCCTCAAGCTCCTCTGGCTATCAAGCACCCCACTATAAGTCCCCTTACCCATTTTCCATAATCTGTTCCCTGAGAATAAAGAGAAAGAGCAGAACAGTGCGGCAGTGTTGAAGCCACTGACCTTCGCTCAGAGACTTCTCTGAGAAACAAGGTCGCCCTAATTGGTCAGTGTGTAGGACTCCATGTGCCTAACAATACTGACGACCTCGTTTTTGTTTTGTTTAATTACTTCCTCCTCACTGTTCTTGGTAGGTTTGTTTGTTTGTTTGTTTGTTTGTTTGTTTGAGACAGGGTCTCTCCATAGCTCAGGCTACCCCTGAATGCAACTGTGTAGCCCAAGCTGGCCTCAAACTCACAGCATCCTCCTGACTTAGCCTCCCGAGAGCTGACATCACAGGCATGAGCCACCATGCTCAGCTTCTCCTCACTGATTTTAACTTATTATTTATTTTTTTCCTAGTGGGAATTTTTATTAGTACAGTGGTTTTTACAATACATGGTAAAGAAGTTAATCATGGAGGGTTGGTACATATACATATCACATCTAGACCCATACACTTATTTCCCAAGCAGCTTATTTTAGAATAGTACCTACAGGGATCCAGATCTTTGCAGAAAGGCTCTTAATTCAATCAGCTGCTGGCTAGTGGACTTTCCTGCATATTTTGAGTTTCAACAACAGTACATCAGCCTTGCAGGTTACATAATAATTCTTAACCATCAGGTCAACCTTTCGCTCTCCCTTGAGACAATGAAATAGGATTTTTGTGTTGTAATTATTTTGGATGAGACCTTTTCCTTAATCTTCTCTTGATAAAGAACTTTAGATTGCAGGAAAAGATGCAGGAACTGACTAGAATCCGTGTGTGTAAGACATTCCTAGTTTCTCACGTCTAGGTCAGCAACCTTCCAAGTGCACAGGTAACAGAAGCAAAGTTGTAAAATAAGGAAATAAAATAAATAAAATAGATACCTAACCAATTAAAAGGCATAACTACTACAAGAACTTAAAAATTGGAGGGGTCTAGATGTGTTTACTCAAAGAGTCAGCAACTTTATCCAGCCACTCACTGCTTATAGTTGTCTTGCTATGGAGCCACGCCAGGGGGCTTAATGTCACTTCAGTCGTCTGCCCAGGAAACTATCATCTGCAAAACATTCCCGTCTCTGGGTCTCAAAATATGATATGGTTCAAAGAAAGGCAGAGGCACAGTCCACACATAGTTAGGAAACACATATTCCTGAAATGCATCTCGTCCTTTACGAGACGTCCTTCATCTGACTGGTGATAATCCTGTACTGGAAAATTAACAACTGACTTATTTTCACTAATAAACAAATGGGATCAATAAACCAGCACTTTTTCTTACATCAGCTGGTAAAGTAACTGAACCCAGCAGTTTTCTGCACTCCTTTAGTTCAGTTACACAAAGAGCTAGAAAGGAAAATGAGAATATTAATCCTAGGTTAATTAAAATATTTACTGAAACAAAGTGCATTTATTAATAAAATTTTTTTCAAAGTTATTGTTTCACTGAACACTGTAGAACACTTGCTGGGTTTATGGCATCTCTCCCAGTGAGGTACAAGACTGCCAAACCAGAGGGAGATTCCTGTTTCCCCATCACAGAAGCATTTGGAATTGTTTCTCATATTCACCTTAAACTTTTGCATGGCTTCTAAATTAGATTTTTTCCAGTCCCATTTCCTTCTGTTTAATGGTCCTT